CCTCAGCCTCCTGAGCTGCTGGGATCACAGATGTGTGCCACCACACCCAGCAACAGGCGTGATTTTTGTCCTGCTTCCTGCTGCAGGAAGACAAGCCTAAGCAATGGCAACCCTGGGTTCATGATCTAACCGCCATCAAATCTTAGCTGGATGGACAAAATGCACCGGCGGCCAAAGAGAGCAGGGCTCCACAGAGGCCACACCAACTATTAAAGTCCAATCAGCCAAGGGCATCGGAGTTCAATCTAACGTGTCGACTTGCTGGACGGCCAAGAGGGAGGCGGGAGTGTGTCTTCCAGGGTCCATTGAGGCTGCAGAGGTTCCCAGAGAGGCAGGATCAGCTCCGGGTTGGATGGCCTGGGTGGGAGAGTCAGAGCTGCATGGATTAACTAGGGGCTGGGAACCGCAAAGGGGGCCAAGTCACTGGGGAGCCACAGGAATGCCTGGAGATAGTCACGGTGGCTCTGGGGCCCGCACTGGCAAGACCAGTAGTTACTTGGAGAGAGGGTGATTATGGCATTCGACAGCTGCCAGGAGGGACCACATTTCCTGTTAGCTTTGCAGCTGGCCGTGTCCCTCCCTGTCTGTCCCCAGCTTGGGGAACGGCAGGGCTGCTGTTGTGTTTTCCTGGTCCGGGTTGATTTCCGTGCTTCCGGTCCTGTTCAGATTTTCACTCCTTCCCCATCGGGCGGTGACGATGAAAGCGCAATCATGGCCACAGCGTCTCTGTGGGATCTCACTGCCTTTCGCCTGTGGGATTGACTCCAGGGACAGACGCAGAGCACGGCTCCCATCGCTCAGAGTGTCAATCAAAAGCACCTGCTGTGTAAGGAGTCAAGGAGAAGGAACGGCTGAGACCCAGTGGGGCGGGGACTCCAGGGTGCCCCGGAGACTGGTTCCCCAAAGTGGTGCGAGGAGAGAAGTGGGCAGACCCTTGTGGTTTGGTGGGAAAAGAGTGGTGGGTTTGGGAGCCCAGGGAAAAGATGGGCCCCAGGACTCCTGCCACTCCTCTCCCACTAGGGATGAAGAGTTCTCAGATGGTGATAGAGAAACGGCTCATGTGCACTATTTTCTTCGCCCCGGCTGGCAGGAAGAAGGTAAGCAGGCAGTCATTACCCTGTATTAATAATCTCCCATTATTGACCCTAGCAGGCTGGAGGTCAGAGCAAACAAAAACACCAGGTCCTCGTACCAACATGTCCGACGAGCTTTCCTTTGGGGGCTAGAAAGTCCCAGCAAAATGGAGCATCCTCATGGGCCACACAGGAGTTTTACTTATAAAAACACGATTATATCTAAATAGCTGTTTCTCCAAAGCAGATCACAAATGGCCACTAAAGTTCATGGAAAGAAACTCAACATCATCATCATTATTATTACTACCAGGTATTTCACCCAGGGGTGCTTCACCACTAAGTCACATCCCCAGCCCTTTTTTTTTCTTTTTTTTTTGAGGGGGTGGGGGTACCAGGGATTGAACTCAGGGGCACTTGACCACTGAGCCACATCCCCAGCCCGATTTTGTATTTTATTTAGAGACAGGGTCTCAGTGAGTTGCTGAGGCTGGCTTTGAACTTGCGATCCTCCTGCCTCAGCCTCCCAAGTTGCTGGGATTGCAGGCGTGTGCCAGCTCAGCATCATCAACCAGGTCAACCTCCTTAACCATCAGGGGAATGCAGATCAGAACAACAATACTCCACTCTGTGCTCACGAGGACGGTTGTAATTTGAAAGCTAGATAATGACAGGTATTGGCAGGATGTAGATCCAAAACTCATGCCTGCTGATGGGAGTTAAAATGGTGTAGTCACTTTGGAAAATGGTCTGGAAGTTCCTCAAAAAGTTAAAAGTAGAGTTATCATATGACCCAATAATCTACTCCTAGGTAGATACTTGAGAATTGAAAATGTGTCTTCACATGCACACACACACACACACACACACACATACACACACAGAAAAGCTTGTACACGAAATGTTCCTAGCAACATTATTCACAATAGCTGAAAGGTGAAAACAAGCCAAAATCCATTGGCTGATGAGTGGATAAACAAACTGTGGTCTGTCCATGCTTGGAATATTACTCAGCCTTAAAAAGTGAAGTAGTAATAGCACACTGTGACGTGGATGGACCCTGACAGTATCATGCTGAATGTAGGAAGCCAGACACAAAAGACTGCATGATTCCATTTACAGCCAAAATAGGCAAAGTGACAGAGGCAAGAAAACATCAGTGGTTTCCAGGGCAAAGGGAGCTTGCAGGGAAGAGGGGAGTGACAGCAGAAGCAGAATTCTTCTTGGAGCCATGAGAATGTTCTGGAATTGTGAATACTGAAGCCATTGAGTCATACACTTGAAATGGGTGGATGTTACAGAGTGTGGATTATGTCTCCATAGAACTATTATATTAAAAATAAAAAGGGCAATGGAGTGAGGGAGTAGGTGGGCATTCTCTACTTTCACAAAGCTTCTATCAACCTAAACCTGTTCAAAATTTTAGGTTTTTAAAAAATAAAAAATGAAGAGAGTGGATGCCCCTTCATTTACTGGCTTCCCCGGGCCCAGTCTTCCCCAGCTCCTCTGTCCCAGGCTGCTGAAGTCGAAACTCAGAACGGGAGCCAGGAGCCCTTGGCCCTCGGGCACGTTTCCGTGGGCCGTCGCGGGAGCCCGGCAAAGTGACGGCAGAAGCCACCCTTCTGTGTCAACGGGCCTGGGCAGCAGTGCTCTGGATCCAGGGTGGGAACGACAGGAGATTGGGCCACAGCTCTGCGACCTCCTCGGGACAGGAGCAGCATGCTCTGGTGGGAGTGGGACCCCAGAGTTCACGTGCTGGGGGCCTAGACCCCGGCACAGCAGGGCTGAGAGGTGGGACCTCCCGGGTGTGGATGTCGGCGAGGGCTGAGCCCTTGGAAATGGGTCAACACATCGTCTCTGCCGCGGGTTTTCCTGGTGAAAGGACGGCGGGCTCCCCCCCCTTCTCTCACTTGTGCCTGCGCTTGACCTTCGCCTTCTGCTCTGGAACGGCACAGCAAGAAGCCCTTGCCAGTTGTGGGCCCCTCGACCTGGGGCTGCCGGGCTTCGGAACCCCAGGCAGGAATCTCTACCCTTTCTATACTGTCCAGCCTCCGGAATCTGAGAGCCGGGCGGTGGCACCCACCTGTGACCCCGGCAGCTTGGATGAGGCGGTGGAACGCACGGGTAAGAGAGTGGGCCCCCTGTGCTGACCCCACATCCTTTCTTTCCCAAGAATCAGTTTACCTGCAGCCCTGCCCGGCCTCAGTGGACAGGACAGTCACATTCCTCAGCAAACTACCTGCTACCTGCAGGAGAAACGCAGGCCCCAAATAATGTCCATACGAGGAACCCGTTACCCTCAAGGGGGAGACCTTTGAGACCTGAAACTCTGGGAGATAAGGATTGTCCCCCCAACCATAAAATCTGTAGGAATATATGGGGACTTGAAAGTCTGATGTCACCCTGCTGTCAGTCAAAAGCCAAGAGGTGGGCCAGGGCAGAACTCTCTGGAAATTTCTCTGGGGTCCCCAATAAAACTGGAGTGCGGGAGAGGCATAGGGTCCCTCTCTTCTCTGAAAGGACTCACCCTCTCCCTTGAGAGTGTCCCCTTCCCCTTTCCTAACCCTTCAATAAACTCATGCCTGTTACCTGGGTGACACGTCAGATCTGACTTGATGGCAAGAATCGGGGTTTGAAGTGGGGTCTTCACACTGCCCCAGTTTCTCAGAAGCCCCCCGCTTCGTTACAACAGCAAGTTTAATGCCTTTGAACTGTGACCTTAAAAATGATGGTAAATTCCCTTACACACACACACACACACACACACACACACACACATCATGGAATACCTATATTACAATTTTTTTAAACTGGAAGGAAAATGTGGGCTTTCTGGGGACAAACTTGTGGCAGGGGTGAGGATAAAGCCAGGGAGGTGACAAGGGCATAGTAAAAGAGTGACCAAGGACTTTAAAAACAAGGCGGTTAGCTGGTTCAAGGCCAGCCTTGGGAATTTGCCCCTGAACTCCGTCCCCAGGTGGATGGATTAACAGCGTTGGACAGTGAATGTGAAGCTGTTTGCCAGATTCACTGCAAATCCCCTTCCACCCGCTGATCCTGATCGAAGCCCCCTGCACAGGAAGTCCTGTGGGGTATTTGGGAAGGCTGGGGGTGGGGGTGGCAGCAGCATCCCCCTGAGCCTGCGGGGGAGCAGCCCAGCGGCTTGGAAGTCACCAGGAGCACATGAACTTGGCCCAGGAACTAGTGTGCGGAGCAGGAGTTCAGAGCCACAGGGGACCATGACCCTCCTCACCCACCCACCCTGGCTTTCCAGGGAATCTGCAGACACTCCCAGCGTCTCCAGACCTCAAAAGGTAGAGACATCTCAGCTACCACCTGAGTGACATTTATATAATGTCCCTTTCCTCCTTGATTTTGCCAACTGCCATTTAGTGAATGCTTTATGCTCTTCAGGAGTGTGACCATGGCTTTGGTGACAGTAGAGGGCAAGGGTTCTGAGCTGGGATTCTAGAACCCAACTTCTAGGGTCCTAGCCTCAGTTTATTCATCTACAAAATGGAGCAATGATATCAATATCCGGCCTCGTGGTGCTTGGGGAGAATCGAATACAGCACTGCATATGAACTAGGGAGGACAGCTCACACGGTGCTATCAGCCGTCCTGTCGCTGCCTCTGTGCCCGGGACATGGTAGAAACTCAACCATGGTAATGGCCGTTCTCAGGGGGCCTGTAGGTTCCCTGACCTCTGGGCTAAGCACCCACAGCACTGTGTGCGCTGGCCCCAGGCAGGACAGACCCCCTTCCTCAGGCCACCCCAGGTCTCTGCCCTTCAGGTCTCCAGACAGAAGAACCTGGTCAGCCCCATGGAGGCAGCAGCAGCGGTGCCTGGGCTCCAGGTGGGAGGGGGATTCAGCGCAGCCCTCCCCCCTCTGAACCAACCCCCCAGCACACAGCCGCTGCGGTGAGGAGAGTGCACTGCCCTCTGGCAGGGAGGCCAGGGTTTTATTGAGTAGACTGTTTATGGTAGGAAAGCCGGGGCTGCTGTTGAGGTGCAGGCTCTGAACCTGGGGGGCTGCACTTGAACCGGAAAGATAGGGTCTTCTGACTCCGCTGGAGGCCCCTCTGCGCTCTGCCTTCAGCGGGGGCGCCTTCTCTGTGTCCTCTCACGAGTACACCCGGAGGACTTGGGCTTTTCCCACGTGATCTGGGGGACCGGGAGAGAGGGCAGCAGGAGAGAACGTGGAGGGCCGGGCCTCCCGAGCAGCTGCCCGAGAGTCCAGGGCAGACCCCTCCTCTGGAAAGGGCCTCAGTTGACTGCATGAGCGCACGTAGGGAGGGAGGGAGGCCGGGGTCAGGCCCAGCCTCCGCTCTTGGTTGTGCTGGGACCTGGCACTCTGAGCCTCACCACCTCCCTCTCTTCTTTCAACGCCAGGTAACATTGTCGGTTAAGTGCTTGCTGTATGCCACACCATTCCAGGCCCTCAAGGCCAAGGTACATGGAGGTTGAGTGTCCCCCTGTCTCCCCTCTAGCCCACCCATCCCCTCCCCTGGTCTCAGGCACCAGGATGGTGTGGCAGCCCCTGCCCTGATTTCCCTCACCCCCTCTTGTCTCCCACCGTCCACCCCCCTCCAGGCAGTCAGAGGGACACACCCCACCCTGTCTATAACCCTCCAGAGCGCCCCCTGCCCTCTTTGTGACACCACACACCTGTTGTCTGACAGCACAGCCCTGCCTGCCTGGGTCCTATTACCTCTTGCCACTGTCACCCATGCCTAGGCCCCAGCCACCCTGGCCTGCTTGTTCCCCACCCAGGCACCAGGTCGCGGCTGGGTTCTGCTAGCGGCTCTTCGTGGAGCTGAGCAGGGCTGGGTCCTGCCTGTGGTGCAGCTCAGGGAACCCTCCCATCCCCAGTCCTCCCCACCTGCTGCATCCACCCTACAGTGAGCACCCCCCCCTCAGGCGTCTGTACCCCTCACTAAGGTGCAAGCCCAGGGTGCAGGAATTCTTCTCCAGTGGCTCCCCAGAGCCCAGCACATAGTAGGTGCTCAATAAATATAGATTAAATGAATGGGGTGAAATGAGCAGCTTCCCTGGGCAGGGACCCGTCCCCACGCTGCCTTGACCGCCCTGAGGAATCCAGCCAGACTCGGCCTCAGTGAGCCCCCAGAACGCCTCGCTGCCTGGAATCTCACCTGGGTTTCCGGTTCTCAGTCCCTGTGATGTTCTCATTGCCTTCAGAAGTTGACTATAAACATAAACAAAGGAGAGGCTAGGGAGGCAGGCCCCAGAGGGGGTGGGTGGTGGGGAGGTGGGTGACACAGGTGCACTGAGCTGCATGCTCTAGAGACAGGGAAACCGCGTCTCCCGGAGGGCTGGAAGTGGACTGTCCGTGGCTGGGCCCAGGCGGCCTGCCTGCCTCCCTCCCCCAAGCAGGACTCAGGTGATGCCATCCCATGCCTGCTGTGGCCACTGGGAACCGTGCCCTCCTATCCCTGAAGTTGTGGGACGGTGCCACGGTAGGTGGCCCCTGGCTCAGCCCCTGTTTCATGTGGCTTTACGCAGTCCCAACCTCTTGGGCAGACTGTCATTTCCCCACTGTGACTCTAGGGAGGGCAGAGAGAGGGTGAAACAGCCACTCATAGGGGTCGCTCGGCCAAGGCCACAGTGCGCCTCCCTTTCTCACTGTGGTGTTCCTCCCCTGGACGCTCCACAAGGCAAAGCAAACCAAGTTCAGGGCCAGTGACAAAACCCAGGCCCGCGACAAGCCTCAGCCCTCTCTCTAGCGCTGTCTCCTGCCCAAGCCCACACACCGGGGCTCCAGCCATCCCAAGCTTCACCTCCCGGGAAATCTGTGCATTCCGGGAAGTGCATGCATTCTTGACATCCCTGCCATCACCGGGCTCCTCCCTCTCCCTGAGATGGCCTTTCCCCATCCTTTGATTTGCTCATTCAAATGCCATTAGTGTTCCTAGTCTCTGCCAAAAATACTTGGGTGATTATTAAAAATACAGCTTCCCATTCCTCAGAAAACTAGGAATGGAACCACCGTTTGACCCACTTATGCTACTCCTCGACATAAAACAGCATACTACAGGGACACAGCCATCACTGTTTACAGCAGCTCAATTCACAATAGCTAAGCTATGGAACCAAACTAGGTGCCCTTCAACAGATGAATGGGTGAAGAAATTGTGGCATATATATATACAACAAAATATTACTCAGCCTTAAAAAAGAATGAAATCATGGCATTTGCTGGTAAATGGATGGAACTGGAGATTATCATGCTAAGTGAAATAAGCCAGTCCCAAAAAACCAAAGGCCGAATGTTCTCTCTGATGTGCAGGTGCTGATTCACAGTAAGGATGGAGGGAGGGAAGACTGGGAGTTCTTTGGGTCAGACAAAGGGAAACGAAAGGAAGGGGAATGGGAAAGACAGTAGAATGAATCAGACATCAATTTCCTTTGCTCATATATGAATACAAACCAGTGAATCTCCACATCATGTTCAACCCCAAGAATGGGAAGTTATGCTCCATGGATGTATGGTACATCAAAATACACTCTACTGTCATGTGTATCTAAAAAGAACAACCATTTTTTTTTTTCAAATACAGCCTGCTTCCTTCACCCACATGCTGCTGTATTAGAATCTCCAAGGATCTGCCCTTTTCTTTTCTACAGAGCTGGAGATTGAACCTGGGCCTTGGTGCGGGCCAAACACGCTGCTGCTGAGCTAGTGCCTTTTTAACAAGCTCCCTGGATGAATCTGGGTGCTCCTGGGCTGGTGGTCAGACAGGCCTGAGGCTGAACCCCAGCTCTTCTGCTGACTAGTCAGGTGACTTCGGGCACATTATTCAAATGTTCCTAAGCCCATTTTCTCATTTGTGAAATGGAGATGATACTGCCTCTGTGGGTTGTTGTTAAACTCAAGATGTGTAAGATGTCAGTAGCTTCAGGCAAATGTGCCCTCCACCTTGCTGGTGGCCTCCCTGAATGCAGACTCCAGCCACCTGCTTTGTGGGTCCTTCCCTAATTCCTGATTCATCCCTTTTTCCTCCTGCCATTGGGGACTGAAGTGTGTGCCACTACCCCCAGGCAGCCTTCAGAGTTCTAGACTAGAAGGGTCACCTAAATACCTCCTAGATACCCCAACCTTTCCAGCTTCCCATTAACTTATTCTTTCCAAGCCAGCCCCAAGTCAATACACATCAGCATTAATACACCCCGTCAGCTGCTCCAGTAAAATTCTGAACATTTACTTTAGCCTGCCCGCCCTGCCTTGGGACCCATTCCTCCCCACACACAGCAGGCAGCCGAGTCTAGGCCGACTGGACCTCCAGACAGCTCGGCTACCACCACCGCAGGGTCCCTCCTGGGGGAGGGGCTCTTGCTCCAGGACGGTCACCGTCAGCCCAGGCCAACGCCAAGCTCCCGTCTCTGGGCCTTGCAGGCCTCACCCCGGAGGCCAGCTGCTGAGCCTGAGGAAGCAGTTCTGGGAACAGAAGGGCAGGTGTGGGGCCCACCTGGAGGGTGAGTGCGGCTTCTCTTGAGGTGCTTCTTGAATTTGCTGAGGCTGGTTCCAGAGTCTTTCTGCTGGAGGGGAGGCTGAGGGCTGAGGGAGAAGCTGAGACACCGCCCTCTGCAGGAGCGCCAGAGCAAGGTCCTTCTCTGAAAGCGCAGCACAGGCAGAGTCTCTCGGGTGTCTAGCGGCAAGGACAAGGGCAGCGTTCTGCCCACGGGTCCCTGCAGAGGAGGCCCCCACCTCTCCCGTCTTGGGAAGCACTTAGTCCTTCCACGTCTGTCTCTGCCTCGATCCCCGCTCCATCCTGCCCAGCCCCCTCCTGGGCCACCATCCTCCCCTGGGGGTCCTCCTCCTCCTTCACTCTCCCACCCAGGAAGTCTTCTCCGTCTCACGGCTCTCCCCAGTCCTCACCTTGCCCCTGAGAGGCGCCCTCCGTCCACTGTCCCAATCTGTGTCTGGAGTGTATTTGTACTCTCTTGTGAGTGCACGAGTGTTCTTGTATTTGCACGTGTGTGTGTGTGTGTGTGTGTGCGCGTGTGTGTTTCCCACTGTGATGTGTGAAGGACTGTGTCTGCTAAGTGTGATCTTTGAATGTTTCCCTCCTTGCTTAGCCCTGGGGTCAGCTCGAAGGAGGGGTCAACTCCAAGTTGGCCACAGAAACCTGCTGCGGGGCAGGGACGAGGGGAAGGCTACTTTGTTGCTGCAGAAAATTGGAGGGAAGGCCCTGGGGCGGGAGCTCTGGGACATCTGAGTCCTGCAGAGCCCAAGAAGAAGGGCGGGGCCTTGGCAGTGTCCACTCAGGCAGGGGGCCCTGTGGCCAGGTCCTCACCCGTGGGGGTGGCATACAGCAGCCAGTACTGGACGGCACTCAGCGAATCCGTCTGAAGGATCTGACAGAGGAGCTCCAGGATCTGCAGGCGGAGGACGGGCCTGGTTCAGGCCCAGCCAGGAGTGCGGACAGGTGTGGACTCGGGGCACCAAGGGCTCCTCCCCCTGCAGTGGGCTCCCAGAGCCACAAGCTGGTCCCAAACCAGCAAGAGGTTTTTGTCTGCCTCTTATGGAGGACTTCCTCTCACAATGCCATGCATTCCTTTTTTTCCAAACCTAGGGCCTCACACCTGCTAGGCAAGTGCTCTACCACTGAGTCACCCCCCTAGTCCCCTGGAGGGAGATTCTTAACCTCCTCCGTGGACAGGGAAGGACTCCAAGGCCTGGAGAGAGGAAGACCCCCGACAGGGAGTCTGGCGGAGGGAAGCCTCACACATCAGCTCCCTGCACACCTCATTCCCAGAGCCTCGCTGGGCCGGCTGTACCCCAGGATCCCTCCCTGGGAAGGCACAGGCAGAGCTGGCCAGTCACCTCCTCAGAGACGCACTGAGTCCCACAAGCCCGGGTCCGTTATCTGGGAATTCCGGGTACCCCAGAGGCCATCCCACCCCGAGCTCTCAGTGCCTGAAGGTGATATCAAAGTGGTGGGGAGTTGGCGGTGGGCAGCCTGAGGGTCGGGGCAGGCTGGTTCTGCAAGCTGCTCAGCGTGGGACTCCTTCCTGCCGGTCAGTGGGCACCCAGGGCTCATCCCCGCATCCTCAGCCTCTGGCATCTTTGCCACTTCGGGGCCCTTTTTCCCCTGCGCTCGCCAGCCAGGTAGCATCAGGAGAAGCTCCACCTCGGCCTCGGATGAGACCCAGGTGCTTCCTCGGCCGAGCGGTTTACGGCGGAAGTGGCTGTGGCAGACTGGAGTTTGGGCCCATGGAGGGAGATGGAGCCCCTGGAGTCCTAGGAAACGTGGGTTCCCTCGGTAGTTGGCGGGCAGTCTTCCTGGGGCCTCTCAGACCCCAGTAGGTCTGTCTTGTCCTTGGCAGAATGGGAAATGGGCTGGACCCCTCCCCAGGCCTCTGCCTGCTTGGGTGCCCACCCTCACACCCCCAAGACCTACTTGTGTGTGACCCACCCTGATCTGCCCCTGGGCCCTTCTCCGGGCTCCGCATCCAACTTACCTGCCCTGTGCCCCCTCCCCACAGGACCTGAGAACCTAACTCCAGGCGCGGTGGGGCCGCCCTGTGGTGGAGAAAGTGCTGGTTCTAGTACCGCCTAGGCTGCCCCTTCTTTGGGGATCTGGGCCACAGAACCCACTTGGCAAGGCCTCAGCAGCCACTTCCCCCCATCTGTGGAATGGGGATCCCCGGCCCTGTCTGCTCTGTCCACGGTGCTAGACAGTCAGAAGGCCCCAAAGGCCTGGCCTGCCTGAGTACCCTGGTGGCAGGAAGGTGACGAGATGCTGCGGTCTGACCTTTCCTGGAAGACATAGGTCAGCGTCCCAGGGACCTGCAGTGTGCTGACCCCCCGGATGAGGCAAGGACTCATCTCAGCTGTGATGGTAAACTTGAGCGTGGAGAAGGGGGCTCTGAGCCGGCTAAACCCCTCTCAGTGGGGTCTGCAGGCTGCGAGACTCAGCCTCCAGGGGGATCTGCCAGTGCCCCAGGCAGGACCTCCACCTGCAGGGGTCTCAGTCCTCCACCCCTGCAGCGGCCTTCATGAACAGCCTAAGGCACCTTCCGTGGGAACGTGCGCCTGCGCCCAGTTTGGATGCATCCTGTAACCAAGGCCCAGAAGAGGGAAGGACTTACACAGAACGGGACAGGGTCCTCCAGAGGCAGAGGGCCCTGGAGCCCAGGCTGCTGACTCCCAGGGTGGGGGTTTTCCTGACAGTTGCTGGAGTGGGCATTCCCAGGACAGGCCATGCCCTAAAGCAGTCTGGAAGAGTGGTAGCCTGGGGACAGGGACTTCGACAGTCTCTGCCCCCAGAGTGGGGCTCACCAGCAGCTCCTGGTTCTGCAAGACAGAGGTCTGGACGCCTCTATCTCTGCTGGGAAGGTGGCTCCGCTGGCCCTGCTGGGAGCCATGGCGACTGAGAGCTTGGGCGGAAGCCGGGATGAGCCTACCCGTCTCCGCTGAGTACCTTGCTCCCTGCTCCCTCGAAGGCTCCTCTTTCTGCTGGGACAAAAGTGACCAGAGACTCCAGGAGCCAGTGAGAGGGTAGGGAGAGGACAGAGGGGACAAGAGGAGGAGGCCAGTTCACACTTCTTGGGTGCTACCTGCCTCCCCAAATCCCAGTGTCACAGCATTGCTGGGGACTCAGGATGCCAGCTAGGCCACGCCCACCCTGTCCTAGATCCCAGGCTCGGCCCCAGGGAGCCCTTCACCGCCGGGCTCAACCTTGCAGAGCCTTTCTTCCCGGAAACGCGGTATCTAAGATTGGCAGCTGGGACACCCAGTGGCTCTGCTTCTTCCTCTCAGGCCGGACCTCCTGGCTGCCCCTCCCCTCAGCCCATCAGAGATTGGAACACAGCACCCTGCATCAAGGACCCTCTGCCCACCTCCATTCATAGCTCAGATACCTCCAGTCAGGCCCCTCAGCTTGCCACTCTCTGTCTCGGACAGTCAGGCCTCTGGGCACAAGGCCTGGGGCCTCCTTCCCTTAAAATTTCAGCTAAGTCTTGTAGTATCCATCTCCCCGTTTTAAAGATAAGAAAGGGAGGCCCAGACCGCTCAGTTGCCCTGAATGAGTGCACTCAGTGTAGGAAGCAGAAGCCAGGCCCCGGCCTTTCCACTCTGGTTGCCCAAGACAAGGGTCAGGGCCAGCCTCAGCTGCAAGAGTCCCAGCCTCTGCTGCAAGAGTCCAGGCCTGTCCTCGGACCACCTTCAGCTGCCTTTGAATTGTCTCTGCCATTTTATCAAACGTACCCACGAGGTCACCCCACCTGGTCTGAAGCCTTCCCATGATTCTCTGCTCCTCGTGAGGTCAGACCCTCCAAGCTGGGAAGTGAAGCGCTCCCCACATTCAAAGTCAGGCTCCTCCTCCCCTATCGCTGCCCACTCCTTCCCTGCCCTCCAGCTCCTGGTGTCTAGAGAGGTCCTGCAGCTGCCAGCGTCTGAGATCTTGCTCAGAAACGCCCACTTCTCAGGGAGCCCTGCTTGGGTCTCCCCAGGAGGTCTGTTCCCGCCCTCCTCTGACCCTCACCCCCCTCCTAGTGCCTGGCCCCTTCTCCCAGGGCCTCCAGCCAGGCTCTGAAGGAACTTCTGTACAAAGGCGCCGATCGACTTCCTGTCGCCCTCGCCTGGCACTGTTGTTCCGCACCCACCTCTTTGTTGTTCTGCTCTGTCTCCTTGGTGAACATGACCACCCTTGAAGTCAGCTCCTTCAGCTCCTTCTTCCAGGCCTCTGAGAGGAGGGGAGAAGATCCTGGGCCCCTGCTCCTCCCCTGGGGGCCCCAGGGCTGGGAGGGTGAGGAAGGTTCTAGGTGGAAGAGTTCCCCACTCCTTTCCAGGCTTCCCTGCCCAGTCTCAAGGGAGAGGGGGGGTGGGGTCCTGGAGGAGGAGCATTAGGAATTGCCCCACAGCTGGGAGGTGTGTGGTCACTTCACTTCTACAGGGGACTGATGATGTTGGTTGTCCTGCCTGCGGCATTGCTGGGAGGTCCAAGTGACACTGGGCCACTGCGACTACATACCTGTGGTCTGTCTAGCTGTGCCTCCTGGGGAACCTGAGGCCAGGACTGAGATTCGGGAGGTATGCCGAGCCAGTTATTAAGACCCCAAGCAACTCTGAGAGGGGTGGGCATACAGCTCTGCAGCCAGCCCTCCAAGCCTGTCTGGCCAGCCCTTTCCCCAGACCCCCCCCCACTAACCTGACTCTCCCACCCCGCAGTAGCAGAGGGAGGGCGGGCTTGGCAGGGGGAAGCCGCGGAGTGCTGCTCTAGCACCCAGGTGGTTGGCTCGGATGGGCTGGGGCCTGTGCGTATTTGAAATACTAAATATTTGAAATGTCATTCCTGTCTGTAGCTGTCGGTCACATGACTTTGCCAGTCTCAACTTGTCTTCTGCTTTTTATTATTCGACAACCACCTCAGATCCAAGCAGGGGCGCCTCTCTGAGGACTAGGACCTGAGGCTGAGGTGGGGATACAGAGATGAGGCCCACCAAGAAAGTGGGGGGAAGCAGGGTCCTCCTGATGGACTCTGCTGACCTCAGAGAAATGGCCCTCTCCTTCTCAGACATCCACCCAAGTGAGGCAGCCCTGGGGGACAGGTGGGAGCCCCCAAGGAGAAGGGTGTGGCCCAAGTACCCACCATAGGAAAGCTGGGGGTTCCGATTGGACTGTGGGTCCCCGATGGGGACAGAGATGCTGGGTATCACCTTCAGACACTGGGATAAGATTGAGGAACGAGGCAAGGGGCTTGCAGAGAGCTTGTTCCTGACGATACAGACAGGCCTCCCCGTGAAATCTGTGAAGAGTTAGAGGGTCTGAGTGGACCCTGGGAACTCCGGGAGGCCAGAGGAAGGCTGTGGGGCAGGGGGAGCTCTGGCTCCATCGCTCGTCAGAGGCAGGAGGGCCCCTGCAACCCCCGGAACCAACCACCGCCTCATCCACAGGACACTGAGAATGGCTGGGGGTCGGGGAGACCTGCTCAGGGTCATGCAGCGAGTTGGGCAGAGGCGAGACAAGATCCCAGCCTTCGTGGGACCCGGGGCCTGGGGTCCTTCTGGCTTCCTATGGCAGGGCCAGGGATCCACAGGGAAAGAGATGGAGAGACCCTCTGGAGAGAACTTCTCTCAGTCTGGAGATGGGGAGGGGTGGCTCACGGGTGGAGAACCTGTCCCCCTAGAGTGCGGGTGACTGTGACTTCACACACCAGCTGTCCTCTCATGGCCGTCACATTTACACCTCCCTCTGACTTCCATCAGCTTCCACCTGGACCAACCTCCCCCTGACGTCTGAACGCCACCTGGCATTTCACTTCTCTCCTGCCCAGGGCCCACACCAGTTCCTCCCCACCCTCCCCAGGCCTCACCTCTTTGTTTAATTTTCTACTTTGTGCAGCCTGGGGGCAACCACTGAGCTACCTCCCCGGCCCTTTTTATTTTTAAATTTTGAGCCAAGGTCTTGCCAAGTTCTGAGGCTGGCCTCCAACTCGCCATCCCACCTCAGCTCCTGAGTGGCAGGGATGATGACAGGCTTATGCCACTGTACCCAGAAAAATATCTCACTTCCTTCACTTCTGTACACCGAGCGGTATGGAGATGCCATCTGATGCAGCCAGGTGGCTTAATGGTGAACCCAGTGGCCGGCAAGGCCCACCTGATCTGGCCCTGCTGCCCTCTGGTGTCATTTCATCTCCCTGTCCTTCCTCTGCTGTGGTCACAGCGGGGACTTCTCCTGGCTGTCCCTTGGGCACAGCCAGGGTGTTCTGGCCTCGGGGCTTCTGTATGTGCTGATCCCTCCGCCTGGGGCATGCTTGTCCCTGATATGCACACAGTCCCCACACTTCTTTCCTTTGGTTCCTGACTCAATGTCTGGTTATTGGCCTGGTCTTGCCTGACACCTTTTAAAAATGGCACTTGCCCCCGACCTGCTTCCGACCCTTTCCCTTCTGGGTGCCAGCTCCAGGGCAGCAGCCCCTGTGCCTGTTTTATCCTCAGGACCTCGAAAGCATCATCCTCTAGTTCATACCCAGTCAATGCTGGGGACGGGCAGGCGGGTGGCCGAGGGCCTGTGCTAGAGAGCAGTGAGGGAACCCCATGGGGGACCCCAGGGCTGCCTTGGGAGCCTGTGCTTCGCTCATCCTGGCTTGGTCACTGGCCAGGCCCCTGCTCTCTGGGCCTGGGCCTGGAAGTGGGCTGGACTCAGTCCTCAGGGTCAATGAGTGGTCTCCCCAATCATCCCCCCACCCCCAGCCAGACCCAGCTGACCTGGCCCTACCTGGGATGTGGGTCACGTGATGGGGGTGGGGGTGGTGCCGGGAGAAGAAGGAGTGGTGGCTCAGCCGGCCAAAGCGGTAGGTGCCAGAGGGCGTGGCCTTGGGGCTCCTCATCTTCTCTCGGGTCAGCTCCAAATCCACAATGCCCGGGACCACCGACTCTTTCTGTGGCCCACTGTCCCCTAGGCTCTGTGGCCAGTGCCTTGGCTTCTTCTCGAGGTTCAGCTCAGCCTTTGGACTGGAGGAGAGTGTTTAAAGAGAAATGAACAGCGCCCCCTCCTGGCAGCAGGGCCCACCCAAACCCAGTGCTGCAAGCTCATCCTGGAGCCTGCTCCCCAGACACTCAGAAATCAAACCTCTCCCCCCACCCATGGCATCCAGCTTAGCTCCCCCAGAGCCTTTCCCAATGGTGCAATCCAGTCCTGGGAAGCCTCTGTCTTCCTAAGGTGCCTCCGCAGGGAACTAGGATCCATTTGAGAGAGCTCAGAGGAAATCTCTCAAGACCCCAGTTTTCTCCCAGAGATCAAATCTAAAACCAGAAAGAGAAGCCTCAGACCCACCCGGTTTTCCAGACAGCTGGGATGGAGCCGCAGGCCCCTTATGTACACCCACCGGGGTAGGGGGGCTGGCCCCAGCAAGGGCCTCTCCCCAAGCCAAACTGTTGGCAGCTCCAGAGAAGCCAGCTGCAGGCTGTCATCCTCCCCCAGGCTCTCAGGGACAGTCCTGGCCCAGACCCAGCGTCCAGGGACAAGATCTGAAGTCAGGCAAGCCCCTGCCCCCCATTAGGGCCCCTTCCCAGGAGACGCAGAGCTGATGGGCACATGTCAGGGCTGTGACACTGCAGGGAAGCCTCCCACAGGCTCTCACTGGACTCGGCTAAAGGCCAGCCTCTTAGGTCCCTGCACCCTGCCACTTCTGGAGGAGCTCTCTCTGCCCCAGAGGAGGAGGTCAAGGTCAGTTCAGCAAGGATCCAAAGCGGGCCACTCCCACCTGCCTGATGGTTGTCTGCATTTCCTTCTCCAGGTGTCCCTGGCCGAAGAAAGTCCCTCTGGGGGCGTGTAGGTGGACCCTGGATATGTTCAGCAGGTCTGGATGTCCTTGGGCCCTCCCAGGAGGACGTTGGTGTCTGGGCCCCTGCGTTTCCTGTCCCATTCTTGATTTGCTTCTATAGTATCTGAGAGTTAAAGAAATAAAGCAAACCTTCTCTGAAAGCCACAGCTGCTTCCTCTGTCCCAGAAGCCGCCTCCTGAAGTCCCCACATGCCAGTGATCAACGTACTGCCTCTTGTTAATGTCTTCTCCCTGTCTGGTGGCAGCTGGGGCAGGGGCATGTGGTGGGGTGCCTGCACCCTGTGTTCACTTAGCTGATGGCCTCAGAAGACAAGGGGGGCTGCCTCTCTTGGAGCCCCACTCTGCAGAGTTTCCCCCAGGGCAGCCTTGGTCATCCACCTGCCCTGCGCTGCCCCCACTCCTCAGTCTGCAGGTGACAATTCAGGGCTTTACCTCAGTGGCTGTTCATCCAGAGACCTCACCTCCGTGGCCATTGTAAGATTTCTAATGGGTAAGCCCGGCGTGCCAGATGGTTAACCGGAGCTCTCATGGACTAGCGGCAGGAGGGAGAAACAAAACCAAAGTGGACAATATCTTGTGAAATTGAACCTTGACTTCTATATCACCCAGCCATTTCTTTCCCAGATAGGAGAGAAAGTCTTGCAGGTGTGCTGCGGCGACTATTCTTAAGAATATTACTTACATTGTCTCAAATAGCAAAGACCCGCATCAACCCAAGAGTACAACGACAGGAGAGTGAACTAATAGGCTGTGTTACCTTCAGACCAGGGAACATTCTGTTGCTATGGAAAATAAGAGAACCATGGCTACACATGATGTAGCTTTTAAATATAACGCTAGGCCGGGTGCGGTGGCGCACACCTGTCATACCGGTGGCTCGGGAGGCTGAGGCAGGAGGTTGTGAATTCAAAGCCAGCCTCAGCAATGACAAGCCACTCACACAACTCATTGAGACCCTGTCTCTAAATAAAATACAAAATAGAGCTGGGGAATGTGGCTCAGTGGTCGAGTGCCCCTGAGCTCAATCCCCAACACGCCCGACCCCCAAAATATACAATGCTAGGTTGAGGAAAGTATGTTTCAGAAGACCCTGAAGCACAAAAGGCTTTCTATAAATAGAAGTTCAAAGGCAAGCAAAATGATCATAAATTTGATCAAATGACAAAACAAAAGCAAAAACAAAAAAAAAAAAAAAAGGAAATGTAAAATTCCCAGTGCGGCTATTTCTGGGTAGGGAAAGAGCGGAGATGTCCAGTGCAGGCATTCTAGTCCTTGGTGTGGGCACTACATTGACGGGCGCTTGCTCGACTATTAAATAAACTAAGGGGGAGAGGAAAGATGGCAGAGGTTGAAACCAAAAATTATGATCTAGCTAAATCTATTGACCTGAAAAATAAATAAATATATCCCAAAGTGCTAGGGATGGGGTTGGGTTAGGAGATCAGCATATTCTGAAAATGGACCCCAGAGAACCGCCCCAGTGCCCGCCTCTGCTGGGTTAGGGTACAATGGGCTGGCCTTATCTGAGATTACGGAAGGGAAAGACTTGCTGAGGCCACATAGCCAGGGGACCAGAGTCCAGGGGACTGTCAGACCTCTCATCTTCCTTTTAAGGAAGGCTTGGGCATCCTGAGGACAGGAGGCGGCCCTGGCACATGAGATGCTGATGCTTGAGGAGGGGGTGTTTGGAAGCCCCGAATTCACCTGCCTACCAAAAAAAGGGTCTCTTTGTAACAGAGACTTCCCAATCCTTTTGCCCACGAGGACAGGAAGAAATTCATCTTTCCATCAAGATTCGATTCACACACCTGTGTGTGTGTGTGTGTGTGTGTGTGTGTGTGTGTGTGTGTACACTTGTGTGTGCATGTGAAACTGAAGCCAGACTATCCCGACGCAAGACGTTCTCGGGACACACACTGATTTTTGTTTTCCTTGGTGACTATTAGACATGGCTCATTAAAGTGCTTCAACAAGATACTGATGAATCCCTACCCACAGCTGCTTCAGAGAGGTCAGCTGGGACCCAGGCCAGGTCTGCCATCTCCAGGGCGGCACAGGGGGGACCACTGTGGCCAGTGTCTGCCCTGTCCTGCCTCTGTCCCTGGGCTCCCGAGAGCCAGCCACAAGGCTTCTACCGATCCAGCCATAGGACTCCCCCACCACCTCTGTCCCTCCCCTGGGTCCTCCCTGGGTCCCCGTCTGGGGCTCCAGGATCTGTTTCCTCTGGGAAAGGTCCCTGGACTCACCGGGGAAGATGGCTGCTATAGCATGTGAGCAAGAAGCCTCTGCTTACCGAGCAGGGGGAGCACGAGGACAAGCCAGGAGTGGGTTTTGTCGGTCTGTGGGCAAGTCTGTGCTTTGTGACTCCGTGAGTCTGGTGGTTGCTAGGTTACCCCTCCCCACAACTCCAGAGGCACTCCCCAGAACCCCTCGCCCTCACCACCCACCAGCTCCTCTTTCCCTCTTGCTCTCCTCCCTCTCCGCTTCTCCTCCACCTCCCATCAAAGCTTCCCATGGGGACCCCTCCAACCCCCTGGGATGGAATATCTGGTTCAGCACCGGGGCCCCGGGCAGGCTGAGGAAGTCTGGCCAAGGATGCTGGCTGGGCGGGGGCCCAGCCTTGTCAACCCAACCCAGCCCGGTGCTGCCACGTACAGCTCTGCCTCTGTGCACGAGGTTCTGGGGATGCACGCCCAAGGGATGTCACTTAGAGAACAGGAAACCGACAGAGAGCTCCAGAGTGTCCCCTGCAGTCTCACTCCATAGCTGGGTGAAGAGACTGAGTTTTCAACTAGGCCAAGGTTCCATCAGAGTCCTACACCTCTGAGATGTGTCACCTGGGTAAGGTGCCTGTACCGCCAGAGATGAGGGACAGTGGGGAGAACACTCTGCTTAAATGCCCTTTCTGCTCCTCCCTAGCTGTGTGGTCCCAGACAGTTTACATAATGTCTCTGAGCTCCAGTTCCCCTGCCTCTGAAACAGAGATGGCACTCCCACTTATTCTCTCTTGGAATTGTTAAGTGAGTCGATACACGTTAAAGCGTTTAGAATAGTACGTGTGGCACTGACTAGGATCTCTGGCTAGTGTTAGCTCATCGGGGCCTGTAAAACGGGGCCTCCGCCTACTCCGGGTTTGTTCTGAAGAGCTAATGGAAGTGAAGTACCTAGTTATCAGCCTGGTACATAAGAGATGCCTACCAAAGATGATCATTATTATTGTTATGGTAACTTGATGAAGACAGGATTATACAAGCAGAATGAGTCTTTATGTGGCGGAGATACCAGACTCAATTATAAATGAAATTATCAGAACATTATGATAAAGGATCAATGCCTGGGGAGAGGGTTCATTGGCCCTGTCCCCAGGCCAGCCTCTCTTCAGAGAGCCTAATTAACCGTGGGTCCCTACCTATTGGGTTGTAAGTAGCTATCTCAAGGAGACTGACCACTTTCCCTGCATAACTTAACATCTCTGAGACAGGATTTCAAGGCCAGAGATGCCACAGATGCCCGTGAAGTTTCTTCTCCTACTCTGTAAACCTTCTGGGAATGTAGCTACATCACTTAATGGTTAGCATAATTTTTAGGTCATTATGCCAATTAACTGCCATCTGAACTGTAACTGCATAGGCTTAGTTCTTAGAAACAGAGCTCTTAGGGAGATAAACTCAAGTCATCTTGAGTAGCTGCTGCCGGTGGAAAAGGACACTTCATGATGACACTCGAAAATGTTCTGGTACCCACCCCCACCCCCCAAAAAAAAGCAAAACAAAACAAACAAAAATGCTTTGCCATCTTTGTTCTGCGCCTGTGAACTACTTATTGTAGAATTTCTGTACATAGTCCTTGATCCTAAGGTCAAGAACTCTAACCCACCAACGCTGTAATGGTTAAGGACTGATGTCGAGTTTCCTATAGACAGCGCCCCATAACCCCAGCTCCTGACTCAGAACTTCAGAGCACTAGCTCATCTGGGTCCCTCGGTGTAAACAAACTTGACTTCTCCAACCCTCCGAGTGGCGCTTGGTCTCTTGCCGAGTGGGATTTTCCATAACACTTAGTGGGAACCACCTTGGGTGATTCACTTGATTTCTGAAGCTCAGTGAGGACTCCTCTGTAGAAAGGGGGTAAGGACAACCCCTGGCCCACGGGGCTGTGATGAGATCAGAGGCCGTGCGGGGTGCCACAGGCTGTGTACACTACAGAAGGTTAGCAGATGGTGCTGGCCCGGGATTGAGGCTGCTGGCCCTCAAAACTGGTGGGGCTGGGACTGAATATTCAAGGGGCTTGGTTCTCAGCACCTGGGGCTTCAGACCAGCACCTTGAGGAGTCTGATTCTCTGGCTAACCCCTGGGAAGCAAGGAAAGGAAGGTGGGCCGCTGGAGGCAAACCCAAGCTCTTCTGAAGTTCTGTTCCTCCCAGCCAGGAAGGGAGGGTGGCCTCTGGTCTTGGCCTTGCTCCGAATGCTTCTCCATCCACCCAGGGCAGAATGTTCCCTGAATTTTGACTTCCTGGGCCAGTCTGCCCAGGATTGAGGTGACCTTTTAGAAATCATTCGGAAAACCCCCTCTTGCATTGCTTTTGGGTATCCTAGTGACTATTGAGATAAATAATATTGGGTTTGAAAGAAAAGAAGCTTTCTTCCTTGTGACCAGTCCCTCTCTGTGGCTTTCAGTTCTCTGGGGGAATTTCCACCTTGTGAGCTGACACACCTGGATGCAATACCCCCACTCCCATCCTCCCGGGGGCCGCCTCTGATGGCTTCCCTTGTGTTCAGAGCTGAACGGGGAGTCTGCAAGCCAGCTGCAGCTGAGGGGGAGGGAGGGGTGCCGAAAGACCCTTCTTTAACCCTGGAAGAGCTGAAGAACCCTCTGAGGTTCTTCTTTGCAGAACACCAGGAACAGGAGAGAGATCTGTCCACTTGGGAATGGTTTGGGGTACATTCCTTTGCTTCGATGCCTCAGTTGTAAGAGGAGCAATGTGAAACTTTGAGAGGCATTTCCTTTGTACCAAGCACTGTGCTAAGCCTTCAGGTGGATTATCTCGTCTAATCCTACAGATGAGGAAACTGATGATCAGAGGAATCCTTGGCTCTATGTTGCTACTGTAGTCTCCACCTGTGACTTGTTCTTTGGTCTCAATTGCAATTTCTTGAGAAAGATAAATTTCTAATTTCAGTATAGCCCAATTTATTAATCTTGTCCTTAGTAGTTAATGGGTCATGTGTTCTATTTAAGAGATCTTTGCCTAATTGAGTTTATGAAGACAGTTCCCATATTGTTTTCTAGAAGATTCATTGTTTGACCTTTCAAATTTATATCTATGATCAATTGGAAATAGGTTTTTGAGTATGGTGTAAAATAGGGGTCAAGATTCATATTTTTTCCACACAAATGTTCTTTTAATCCAGCATTATTATTTAAAACACTATCATTGTCCTGCTTTCCTGTAGTACCATCTTCATCCAAATTCAAGGGTCCATATATCTGTGGGACTGGACTTCACCTGTCATTGCACCAATACTATACTCTCTTAATTACCGTACCTATAAATACATCTTGATATTGGTGGTGTAAGACCTCCATCTTTGTTTTTCAAGATTATCTGACTATTCTATTTCCTTTGCCTTTCCGTATAAATTTTAGAGTGATCATATCAATATCTACAACAAATTTTACTGGATTTTGCTTTTGCTTTTGTTTTGCAGTGCTGGGATTGAACCCAGGGGCATTCTCCAACTAAGCTGTATCCCTGGCCCTTATTTATTATTTTATTTTGAGACAGGGTTCACTAAATTGCCCAAGCTGACCTTGAACTTGTCATCCTTCTGCCTTAGCCTCCTGAGTACTTGGAATTATAGGCATATGCCACCATGCCTAGGACTTTGCTGGAATTTTAATAGGTAGTTGGGTTAATCCTGTGCATCTATTTGAGAAGAATTAAAGTCTTTACTATATTGAATCTTTCAGTCCGTGAACATGGTAGGTTGCCATTTATTTATTGGTGCTAGGGATTGAACTCGGCCCTATTCATGCTAAATACGCACTCTACCACTGAACTACACACCAGCCCCTATTTATTTCAATCTTCTTTGCTTTCTTCGGTCAATGTTGTGTAGTTTTCGTAATATAAACCACATGAGATTTTTACCTATTTCAAGTACTTTTATGATTGTAAATGGTATTCAATTTTTATTTTGATGTCCATGTGTACATTGTTAGTATATGAAAATACAATTGATTTTTGTATATTAGTTTTGTATCCTATTATCTGACTGAACTCATTTATTAATTCTGGGAGATGGGTTGTAGATTCACTGAGATTTTAGATGTAAATAATAATATCATCTGCAAATAGAAATAATTTCATTTCTTTCTTTCTAATCTATATGCTTTTAGTTCCCCTTTCTTGCCTTATTGAACTCCTACAGCTTCTAATACTGTGTTGAATAAGTGGTGAAAGTGGACATCATTGCCTTCCTCCTAATCTCAGGAGGTAAGCATTAAGTCTTAATCACTAAATATCATGGTAATTTTAGGATTTTTGCAAATGTTTTGTATCAAATTGAAGAAATTCCCTTCTTGTTCCATTTTTCTGATAATTTTTTGTCATGAACAAGTATTAAATTTTGTCAAGTACTTTTTCTGCATCAGTTTATATGATTATTTGATTTTTCTTCTTTAACCTATTATTGTGATTGATTACAGATATTCAAATAGTGAACCAGTCTTGTATCCCTGGAATAAATCCCAAATGGTCATGGTGTATAATATCTTTTATATTTTTCAGAATTCTATTTGCTAATATTTTCTTAAGGATTATAGAATTTATGTACCGACTTTGTCTCATTTTGATATTAGAGTAATTCTAGCTTCATAAAATGAATTGAGAAGTTTTCTATTTTCTGAAAGAAGTTTGTGCAATATTTGTGTTAATTCCTCTTTAAAAACATTTGTTAGATTTCTTCGGCAAAACCATCTGGGTCTGGAGATTTATTTGAGGGAAATGTTAAAATTATAAATTCATTTGCTTGTTATATTACTCGTCCAATGATCTACTTCGTATCAAGTGAGTTGTAACAGTTTGTGTTTTTCAAGGACGTGGTCCATTACTCCTAAATCATCAAATTTTTTCATGTAGGATAAAGGAGTTACACTTTTTCTTTCTAATGTATGCATTTAACACTCTAAAATTCCCTCCTGACCCTGCTTTAGTAATGTGTCACAAATTTGGATATGTGCTATCTTCATTTTTCATTCAGTTCAATGTATATTTTAAATTCCTTTGAAACTTCCTCTTTGACCCATGAGTTGTTTAGAAGTCTATTATTTT